TTTTCAACTGTCTACTACAACCAAGTTTGTCCAGCCCCAGTGAGAGAGAGCCGATGACGATGGTATGTCTTTCGCTCGTTTCAGTGTCTGTAGTCGTCTTTAGGTGGTCTATAGATTTGGATGTAGTTTTTACTCCTGGTGTCCTTTGTACTATCTTGACAGTTGATGAATAGATGAAAAATTCTTGTGGCAAAAACGATCCACTGTTATACCCCAAAGTAAATCATGTAGGGTTCGTGTTCTTTACACCTTTGTCCCAACTGCCCAAACAAGACCTCGACAGTTCAATGAACTGTCGGAACCTACCCAAAGACATCCCTGCAATGGTCTGTGGAGCAAACCATGATGCAGATCAAACGCAACAAACCAAAACACCTCTCGTGGAAGAACAGCACAGTTCCTTTCAACATCTCGTTTGACCTGTCCATATTTTTCCTTCTTGAAACAGGAAAGGGCCGGCGCGGGTCAAACGCAAAATATTCGTACAAATGGGAAAGCCATCACCGAACAAGAGAGAACAGTAACCCGGATGCTCGCATGGCCGAGACCGGTTACGTCGCCGCTCCTGCCGATCCACCCCCCTGCGTGGGACTCGCTGGCGATCATGCACAGCACAGCACAGTCCGCGCCAACGACGCAGGCAACAGCGCCAGTGATGGGCAGGACCGGTAGTTGATGAGAACACGTAAGCCTGGCCGGGACGGGAGGAGGAAGGAAAGGCCCGACGACACCGGAGGGTGGCCGCCATAAATGAGGGTGGCTGCTGCTGCTCTCGCAGTAGTCCTCTGCCACACGGGCGCGGCTCGGATTTTGGCGCAGGCTGCGACGAGGGGTGCTCCAAAAAAAACACTGCCAAGGGCAGAGGTCCTGCGCTGGGAGTGTGGGGAACGATCGAGCGTCGCAGAGGGGCGCGGAGTGCTAATAAATGCGCGCGCGGTGGAGTGGCCAGGACGGCGAGCATTTTGGCCGGCGTGATTGAACGGGACGGGCTTTCGTTTTGGGCGACGAGCCCTGTGATGAGACCCTCCGCGTTGCGTTTCGTTTTGTCCCGTCCGCATCGGCTGGGCTGGGCTGGCTCCGTCGTCGTCGGTCGCCGTGCACCGGTTTCGTGATCCGCGAGATCGGCGATGCAGTCCGTCCTCAGCGGATGTCACGCGTGGGGTAAATGAACAGGGAGCTCTTGTCTTTTCACCGCCGCTGGCGCCTGGAGGAGCTTGCTCGGGGAACGCTCCATTCGCCGTTTTGTATGGGTTGGGAGCGGAAAGACTGGCGCCGTTTGGGTGCATGGAATTCAGGTTAAGATTGAACCTCTTTCCTATTTTTTACTCCTGAGAGTCTGGCAGTCTGGGAGCTGAAAGGCAAAGGGATCGCAGGCAATACCAGATCGCAAGCATGATGGGGCGCTTCCGTGCGCAGGATCAGAGTGGTGTTTGCCAGTTAGCAAAACCGAGCACTTTAATAATGTGTTTAAACCTAAGGTTGATGGCAGCATCGCCTCAGACGAGAGAGCTACGACAACAGAAACACGAACGTGACTTGATCAAACCATGCATATCTAAGTAGGAGTACAAATGAAGAGAACTAATCAATCGATTAGTTGGCCGTCTCAGGCAGGCCTGCTAGGAACACGTTTTAGACTGCTTCCTCGTTGCTCACTTGGGAACTAGCGAAGAACAGTTCCTTCATATCCACATGCTCCCCGACAGAACAAACACAATGCTTTTCGATCCTCCTTTTCCTCAATCACTATATATAAGAGCCTCCTACAACCCTTCGAGGCATCACCGTGCAGCATCAGCACAATCACTAGCACTTTCCCTAGAGATTAAACACACTCAATTAAGTGAGAATCAACGCTCACATTCGAATGGCGGCAAAGTTCTTCCTCATTGCCCTTCTGGCTCTGTCATTTTCCCGTGCTCGTGCCTCGGACCCGAGCCAGCTCCAAGATTTCTGCGTCGCTGACAGGACATCCCAAGGTAATGTATAACCACACATGCGTACGTGTGTGGTGAAATGTTTGCTGTAATTATCAATGCCAATCATAGTTGTTAACTCTTTAATATCATGTAATGTGCATGCAGTTTTTGTCAATGGATTTGCCTGCAAGGACCCGAAGGCTGCGGAGGTAGAAGACTTCTTCTTCTCTGGCCTTCACATGTCCGGGAACACGAGCAACAAGCAAGGCTCCGCTGTGACGGCGGTTAATGTGGCGCATATTGCTGGGCTGAACACTTTGGGCATCTCCTTGGCTCGGGTTGATTATGCTCGATATGGTCAAAACCCACCCCACATCCACCCCCGTGCATCTGAGATCCTGACGGTGGTAGAAGGCTCACTCTATGTTGGTTTCGTGACCTCGAACCCCGAGAACAAGTTGTTCTCAAAAGTTCTTAACAAAGGGGATGTTTTTGTGTTTCCACAAGGGCTAATTCACTTTCAGTACAACTGCGGAACCAAAAAAGCTATAGCCATTGCGGCGCTGAGCAGCAAGAACCCTGGAGTGATCACCATAACCAATGCGGTGTTTGGATCCAAGCCGTCCATCTCAGATGATATCATTGCCAAAGCCTTCCAGGTGGACAAGAAGATTGTTGACCATATTCAAGCTCAGTTCTAAACATATATCTTGGTGATATGCTTATTTGATTCATTTGCTGTCTGATTAAAGATCATGTTTGTGTTTCCCTATAATGTAATTTCATTTTATATTATGTTAATCAAAGCTTTTGTGGAGTAAAATCAATGATGTACTTGGTTGTTTAAATTATTACTATTTTGCTAATCTACACTAGAAAGGGGAGTTTGTGATCATCATTGTCAAAATGGTGATACTTCCTCTCCGCGCACATCACCTCCTCCTATATTCATGCGCTAAGCTACCTCGCTTATGTACTACTCTCTCCGTTCATAAATATAAAATATAAAATGTTTTGAATATTTTAATATGGATTATAGACAACCTGAAATGAGCGAGTAAACAGACTAAAACGTGTCTATATACACCATCCAAATCACAAAAAGTTGGAACATCTTATGCTCCTTCTATAAAGAAATAGTGATCTAAACGCTCTTATATTTCTCTACAGGGGGGATATTTGTGAACAGAGGAAGTATATGTTCAATATATTGCCCACCCTTTTCCATTAAATCAAAACTTTGGATTAATTGGTTGAAGCATGAATTGAATACTATATGCCCCGTCTCCTTTTAGCAGGGTTTCACTGAGGCAGGGGCAGAGATTATACATATTTCGCCAGAACCAATGAAAATCATCCAACATCCAGAATTTGTTTCTTTGGATGGCAGACAAAACTTCATCCTGTGCTCAGCACATATTCAACCAGCCATCTCCCATTTCCAGTGTGGCATTGGGGCCGCGAGGACTGGTCAACCCACTTGTCATACTTCGATGGATCACAAGTGCACCCAGCAAGACATAGTAGCAACGAGTTATGGTACGCTTGCCCAAAAGGAATTACTGAAATGTTATCATTGGAGAAGCATCGGCAAATATATATTTCCACAGAATATAAAGGTTCAACTTGAATTGCCAGCACATCCACCTCCGCTTGAAAGCAAGCGGCCAGAACAAGAACATCGCATGGCACATTCTCATGTAGAGAGCGAATGAAACAGAAATCTTGAAGCGAACAAACACTCCTTGTACACCAATTCGAATCTAGGAATTACAAATGTGGCACATCAGAATGCATACGCAAGTGCAAAAGTACTAGAATTGTGCGGTTCATACCCCTAGATCTTGACACAGATACGTCGTGACAGCTTGGCCCAGGTGGAATGATCCATCTGTGCATGCCAAGGTCACGCAACTCAAAGAAATACCAGCGTTAAAATGCCCTGTACAAAAAGCTAGCCAGCCAATACATTGTCAAAAGAAAAGGAGATCTTTCAGTTTTAGGGAAAGCAGTCTCGGAACAGGCACCTGGTTAGCAGCATTAACTATTGTCAGTGATTGGAAGTTTTAGCTTAGCCATGATACATCCACACACATGGTCCGCTGGAAATTAGACGAGCTAGTTACACTTTCACCTGTCCCAGAGCGCCCCAAAACAACTTAAGATACACCATAAAGATCACGTAAATGAAACCTGCATCGTAAATAGAAGGCAATCAACTGAAGAACTCGATAAAGTAGAGCAAGGTGTTGCAAACACAAGGCTGAAGTTATGGCACAATCAATGCCCGGAATCCCATTGCAACATCAATTGAGATCAGTTGATAAAAAAAGTAACCAGTACAACACAAAATACTTCAGAAAACGCAATTCTGTATGATACAACAGAATGATAAATTACCAGGAGTATTCGCACCAATACTCTGGTAAATCAATTAATCAAAGTACAAAAAACTTTCTTAATAGAGTAATACTCCCTCTGTAAAGAAATATAAGAGCATTTAGATTACTACTTTAGTGATCTAAACGCTCTTATATTTGTTTACGGAGGGAGTACTATTTTATAGCGTACAGGTGCATGTTGAACCAGTACTCTTAATGGTCCCCCAATAAATTTTGGAAAATTGTGCAACTATGAAGAACGTGACCTCTGTTTCAGTCCCTATATCTGCTATATGAAGTGGATCGTGATTGGAAAAGTATCAACAGCCACAATCCTTATTTTGAAGAGAAAAATGATACTTCCCTCCGTTCAATTATAAGATGTTTTGGATATTTCAATATGGACTACATACGGACTGAAATGAGTGAATAAACACACTAAGACGTTCTACATACATCCAATTCAGAAAACAGTTGGAACATCTTATATTTATGAACGGAGGGAGCAGTCCATAGGAGGCAGATGCACTACATGCAATGATGCAAAAGAAATAAACAAATAAGCAAACATACCTGATGAGCTGCTATTTACACAAGTTGTCTTATAACTTCCAGGGTGGGGCATACAAGATTAATCTTCCAGATAACTATTGGCAGTATATCGTCCGGTCTATCTGAGGAGGTATGGGTTTTATCTCAGTTCCAAGCTCCTGCTCAATCCGATACCTGTGCACGGCAAAAAAAAAGTCATGGCAGAAAAAAGGGGTGATAGGAAAAAGCTATAGCAGTCTTGTAAACAATTGCATACAAGTTAAAACGATCCTCGTAGGTGATCAGATTCACAGCCAGGCCAAGGTGGCCAAATCTCCCAGATCTACCAACCTGCAAGTGAAAAATACATTTTTCAATGCAATTTTAAACACAGAAACAAGTCGACATCTTGCCAATTTGCCATCGAAATGCACCATGTTAAAAGAGATGCTAATAAGGATATAACATTACACTCCTGAACTCCTGATAGGCAAGATGTGTTCATTTTCCAATTTCCATATCTACTAAAATGAAAATGTCTTTCATATCATCTTAGTAGAGGATTATTCAGCTAACAACTATATGCATCATTGGAACTAGTCATAGCTTGAACACCAAAATACTAATGCCAATTCATTAAACTGCATACCCTGTGGAGATAGGTTTCAGCGGTCTTGGGGAAATCAAAATTGATAACAACATTAACAGCTTGGATATCTATTCCCCTTGTAAAAAGATCTGCAAAGGAAAAATACGAAAGGTTAGAAAAGGGAGACCAAATGACCCACCCAGCTTGATAAAAAAATGTCAAAACTAATAAATCACTAACCATAAGTAATAATTAATTAATTAAAATGCAAAGAGCAGTGAAACTTCAATTTTATTCTAAAAGCTAGAATACTATTGATTTCTAAACCACATGCTATTGTAAGGTCTATTGAACATTTCTTCCATTAGATGCAAACAGATCAAATAATCACTAATGTAATGTGCATTTGAACAAGTCAGATACTAACTACATTTGCTGACTTCTACACAAGTGGCTCCATGAGAAAAAACATTTCTTCACTGTAGAAACTGCATTGTATTTGGACCACAAGCAAGCAAGCTGTGAATAGCCTAAACTTCAACGCCAGTAAGGCAGTAAATAAGGCCTACAGTTCAGAAAGGTATAGTACTAAAAAAATAAATGGCCACAGAATAATGTCCTTCAGCCAAAATGTAAAGGCAGCACCTAAGAAGGTAAAAGGTATAGTTCCATGCCTGTACACACAAGGTTCCTGCATGCGCCATTACGGAAATCATGGAATACTCTATTACGATGATCCTGCAGCATTTTAGCATGGATGTAGAAGCAAGAGTAACCAAGCTCTGTGATCTTCTTCGCCAGTAGTTCAACACGATTTACGGAGTTACAGAATATTATAGATTGATTAATTTGCAGCTGTATCGAGATGGAAATTGGAGAAATTAGTTACAGATTGCGACCAGTCACAAAACGTGACTAAACATGTAGGAATCAACTAAAAGATTTCATGGGAAAAACCTTGGAAAAAAGAGTGTTCAGACAATGGACTTTCTGCCTTTCTTCAACAAAGGCGTAGAATTGGGTAATTCCCTTCAGTGTAAGTTCGTCCATAAGATTAATAACATAGGGTTTAGGCAGATATTTGTCCTTGAAAGCCTTGACAGTCACAGGGAATGTTGCAGAGAACATCAGAATCTGTCGACTCGATGGAAGGTATCGAATTAACTGCTCCACAGAAGGTTGGAACTCAGGAGAAAGAAGCTTGTCTGCCTACAGGAAAAACAAATATTTCTTGTAAGAACATGTTCTTATTAAAGGACAAATCTACAACTATAACACCAATTTAAATTAACCTTCTGAAGTTGTTTATTTCACGAATCCATACACCATACATAATAGTACAAAATGAGATTAAATATACTCCCACTGATCATATTTTTTTCCGTTTTCCATCTATGTGAGCTTTGTGAGAGTATTTACCCAGGGATACAACACAAGTTGATCTGCCTTTGATCATAAGCCCCACAGGATTTTTTTATTCAATATGAAAATAACTGGCTAGGCCCCTCACATTAAAACGGATTGGAAGTTACCCTTAAGCCCCTCTGGAAATCGCTTAGGCCCTTCACAGACGCTGCTTAGCCAGCAAGTCCTCCCCACCAGGCAGCAAGCCCACACAACGAGCAACTACCACCACTGGCTCTCGTGTGCACAACCCTCACCTTCTATCTCGCTCACTCACCCAAGACAGAACCGCGCACCAGCAAATACATAGAGGCAGCGATGAGCATGCCACAAAGATCATGCATGGACAGGTCATGTCAGCGGACCAAGTCAAGCGTCACGAGGGGGTGGCAAGACTCTGCACCATCACCTACTCACTAAATACTACAAATCCAAAGAGGCAAACCAGACCTAGAGCCACGGCTCTCCCCTGCGTCAGGCCAGTGCCACATCCCTTTCCCTCATCGGCTCCGTACTACGGCTTGGCGCTGCTTACCTTTGTGCTCGGCTGCTTCTAAAAGTTCAAGCTGCCTCCTCCTTCCTCGATTCAACTTTGGTTTTGACCAATCAATAGAGAAATAGATTCATATAGGTTGGAGCAGATTTAGAGGAAGGGGTGACAGAGACGACCTGGGAGAACTCTGGACAGAGCAAACCCTCAAGAGAGCTCCCTCATGTCTTTCAGCAGTGCCTGGCAGGGGGCAAAGCTAAAAAGGGGCAAACTGCATATTTTTTCATATGCACCTTAAATGGATAACTAAATTGATTTTTGTAAAAATCCCCTGTAGGGCATGTAGGACAAATTATCAGGTGGACAACCAGCTTAAGGGCATGATCAAATGCAGACCAACTTCAGGACATATTGTCGACATCAAATCTCTCCATGTAAAAAGGCAATTTCTTAATCCAGTTAGTCTGGAATGGAGAAGTGATAACTTATCTCATGAACTAGCAACAAACAATTTTAAGGTGGAGAACACATCTGCTGATATACATTCCTATTTCATTTTCCCTCTGTGAAATGTAGTGTTTTGTAAAATATTTTTTTTTTTAAAAAGCAGTGGTAGAATGCCATGCCAAAAAGGTTCTTTATGAAAGGTCTTTGAAAGACAAAGTGTGCCCTAATTTAAAATACAAGCAATGCCAACTACAACAAGTCTTCAAATACCTCATCCATAATAAGCATTGAACAGTCCTTCAGAATGCAAATGCCTTTCTTCGTAAGGTCCAAAACACGACCAGGCGTCCCCACAAGTAAATGCACAGGTTGATAAAGACGGACAATATCATCCTTTAGGCTTGTTCCTCCAGTAGTGACCATGACTTGAATCTTCAAGTGTTTCCCAAGTTCCTTGCAGACTTGTGATGTTTGTAAAGCCAATTCCCTCGTGGGGACCAATATAACAACTGAATATAAGAAACAAAAGGTAAGGGTGGTATGATCAGTTCGAATATGCTTATGTTTGATCGTTGCATAATTTTAGAAACTCTATGTACGTAATTTCACGAATTCCATGTGCAAAATAACAGTAACTAGTCCAGAAGAAACCTTGAATAGCATTTTTGTCTTGATCAATCTTCTCTAGCGCAGGTATACAAAATGCAGCAGTCTTCCCGGTTCCATTTTTTGCTCTTGCAAGAATGTCGCTGCCGGTTAATGCAATAGGAATGCTTTCTTCTTGGATAGGAGACGGTCTTTCAAATCCTTTCTCATATATGCCCATAAGAAGTTCACGCTTCAGAAAATAGTCTTCAAATTCGTTTCCCTTAGTTGCAGTGACATCCTGTGCAGAGAAAAAATGAAGAAAAAGAAGACACTAACTTAGCAGGAGAATGAGAACATAAGCAACAAATAATAATGCTACAAGATAAGCTAAACTTGACATTTAACTCGTCCAACAAGGTAGATCAGTCTTGACAAGTTGAACATTCTAAAAGAGAACTTATTTCGCTACATGGATTGTGCTGTTGTGTGACTATTGAGGGCAAACTATATGATGAACTCAAACACCGCATGCGAGATTCAAATCTACAGCAAGATTTAGCAAATAATAACTATAAAATATGATGATTTTCTTTTATGTGTGGAATCTGAACTGTAGAACATAAAATGGAACAGGGTAGCCTCCCAAGAATGACCAAGTAGGAGTATACGACTGGCATGTTCTCCAAACCAAGAACACTATCAGCTGCCTTTTCCTTCCACGAGCAATACCGAATAGTAATCTTCTAATACTGATATCTGACTGCGATGTGCTTGGACATTAAAAGTTATTATTGGAACCTAGTTCTATTTCTAACTTATGACAACCAGAACGTTAAAAGAAAACATATAAAGCAAGACAATAGATCATGCAAAAATATAGCATTGCATGCCAAATCTTTACAAGAATGAGAGCAGCACTTGACAAGAAAAAAGAAAATATTAGTATAAAAATACCTCGGTCTGGTAGCGTGTATCTGGAGGTGGAAGCTTCAATTGGGCCTTCCAGTCTTGCGAACTGCAAAAGCATAACTTAAGCTACTACCAATATCTAGGGTATATCATCTACGTTAGAAGAACAGTTCAACAGTGGTTCTTTTCTACTTAGGGGAACCATATTTGTGGACAACTATGTTAGGAACCTCCTGAAAATTTACATCCAGGATATTCACTTCAAAAGACTGCTTTATATGCCTTTCCAACCACCAAATCACAAAATGCCACATCCGACTGTTGTTTGGATGTGATGCAGGAAAAAAACGCAGGAACGGTAGACACAAAGAGAAGAAAACATGAGATAGGACCTCACGTTTGGTTTCCTTCCAAATTCCTATGGAATGCCTCATTCCAGAAGAATTTCAAAGGAGTGTAGGATTGCAATTCCTGTTCCAAATGGTACCAAAGGAATTTTTCCTATATATAGAAATGTTATCCTCTAAAAGTCCAACATTTTCCCTCTGTTCCAAACAGGGACTTAGCATCGATCAAAGAAACTAATTGGACACATCAATCATCCATGTGGCCGTCATCATGGACCAAAAAGAGCCATTAATTCGCCCAATGCGGTAGCCCTACCACATATTCAGTAGACAACATCCACAGCTATACATAGCCTCGAAAATATGCACACGAGCACGTTTTGTTAGTTGCTCGGCAGTTATCTGAAAACAGTCAATTAAACAGAACTACTCCCAGAGACAGGCTCTGCACTATCCCAGAAGATGCCACGCTTGGTCCCAGGGATTAATACAGAATACCCAGGGGCACGCTCTACAGATAATTCATGCTTGGAGACTGTAATTCCCTTATCCAGCAGCACTAGTCCACTAAAAGCACAGAAACACTCGCAGCGTTACCACCAAAAGTACACGAGTTTCACCCATGCTGCACTTTCAGCCTATCTAAACCCCGGGTCCTAACCAGTAGTACACACCTATCCCAAGTCAACGAATCAAATCAATACATGAGCATTTTGAACCAATACCAAACAATAGGCAAAGCCTTTCCGCGCCTCTCTTACCTCAAATCGGCGTCACCCGCGGCAGCCGGCGCATGGTGCTCGCTGGCTCTGGCGGCGCCCGCGGCGGCCTCGCCAGCGGTCTGATTCCGCCGAAGCCACTGCTGATGCTGAAGCTGCTGGCTGTGGTGCTGCGAGTGCTGCGACTGCCGCTGCCCCTGCGCCTGCTGCTGCTGCTGCGGCGGCTGCTGATGCTGATGCTGCTGCGTCGGCGGCGGGCCACGGCCGTAATAGTTAGGATTCCCGCCGCGGCCGTTGCCGATGCCGGGAGGATACCTCGCCCGCTGATCCATCGCTTCAAGGAGCCCCGGACCTTCTCCGGAATCGAACCAAAAATGGTCGTCGGATAGATCCGGCCGGATGCTATGATTTGGAGGGACGACTCGAGGGGCGTTTGGTCGGTAGAATTGGGGAATTTGCGGGGGGCGATTTCTAAACTTTGTCCCTCCGTTCTGGCGAAGCGAGGGAGAGGCTGGGACAGGGTAGGATGACGGCGATTTGGGATTGGTGGAGAGCTAAAATTACGAGACTGACCTTGACAGTGCCCGGCCATTTACACGTTTTTTGTTGTTGACATTTTTCTTATATTTACACGTTTTTTTGTTGTTGACATTTTTCTTATATTTACACGTTTCCCTTGCTTTTTTTTTGAACACAACAGTACAGACGCTTCTTTAGTTCTTTCACATGCCTTTGATTTTTACCTTTTCTGTATTTAGTGCTGGTATTACTCCTCCTTCCCAAAATATAAGGCCGGGTTTGACTTTTCTGGTCTTCGTGGCACAACTTTGACTATGATTTTCATGTATTATATGTCTATAAAATTAATATGCATACTATGAAATAAAATTGTTTTGCAAGACAAATACGACGATGCCATTTATACATGTTCAATCCATATATTTTAATATATATTAGTGGTCAAAGTCGTGCATCAAAGACCGTAAAAAGTCAATCGCGCCTTATATTTTGGGAAGGAGGGAGTACATTGCAGGCTAAAATTCTCGGAACAAGAGAAAAGAAATGTAGATTATGGTCCATTAGAAATAGAAATAGGGTCACATCAATATTCAAAATTTTCTTTTGAGCAAAAGGGTTTGCACCTGATTTGCATTAATAGAAATCATAAAGAGGTTCTCTACTAACTAAGGCCACCATTGGTTTACATGGATTTTGTAAGAATGCTAAAGGATAGGAATCTTATTCCTTCACATTTTAAAGAAAAGAAAACTTAGCATAGACCCAGTGGAAAAAAATCAAATCCTAAATCAAACGACATATCTTTCCCTACAGGATTTGAGATGCATATTACCTCGCTTCCTATGTTTTTTTATTCACATGGTATTCCTATCGTATTAATCAAATAAGGCCTTTTTGAATTAAGGGAAAAATTGAAAGATAAATAACAAGTAACAAAATAAACTATGTGTTGGCGGAAAGGCAATAACCGAGCGCTTTTGCTCCCCGGCAACGTCGCCAGAAAAACTTGATGACCTGCAAGGGCACAGGGCTATGCAATTCGCGGTAAGTAGAGTATGTCGATTCCATAGGGAGGGTTGTTGCACAGGTAACTACCAACCCCGCTGCTATGTTGTCACTTACGTGGCTATGTTCACACACAGAGCGTTATATGAAAATAGTATATTCGTCGATTGCTAGCGAAAACGATAATAAGGGTGGTTTTGATTAAACAACTACACGAAGGTAAAAAATATAAATAAAACAAGGATAAAATAAATGGGCGGGCCTTGAGTAATAAGAGCATTCTCGATGTGTTCAGAGTTATCACTACCCGTACGTTCTATGAATACTAAGCCACTTTGTATGTTTCTCTTTATGGGCGGAGCCAGTGCATACACGTGGCAACCGTGTATCACATATGCCACCATCGTTCTTCCCCACTCTGATTATCAAACGGTGATTAAGGGGGGAAATGGTCATGTGGACACAACCAAAATGGTCTCTGTTTACCCCCTGCTGCAACTATCCGGGACTAAGGGAGATAGGTCCTATCACACCACCCACCTCTGCAACCAGCCGGTTCGCCAACAGTAGTAACCTTCCGTCCAAAATTGGCATATGTTGGATGATCGACTTCACCCAACATCAAGAAGACTATTAACATAAACATGCAAAGAGGTTATCATATAGCGCAAAACAATCGGTACTAGCACAAACTAGAGTTCATCTTGTTCCCTCAAGAACTAATTAAATTACCCAAACATGATGATGGAGTACATAGAGATGAGGGATGAGTTGCAAGCCAACACGAAGTTGGAGATGGAGAGAAATATGAAGCGGTGATGAAGAGGGTGTTGGCCCTTCGGCCGTCGCCAACGTGGAAGCGCCTCCTCGCTTCCTTCTTCCTTGTCTTGGCCTTTCTCTCTATTGTGGAGTTGCTGCAGTGGAGGTGTGATGGTCGTAGATGAGACTTGTTGAGGATGGAGATGGAATTATCCGGTGCTACGGTTGGAGGTCTTCATATAGGAGTCCTCCTCGGGTGTCCTCCGATGATCTAGCCTCCTCCCTTTCATCCAAGGGCTCAAGGGGATCCAAATCCACATCCAATACAAGCCTTGGTCGTCAAGGATCCCGTAGGGGAAAACGAGGGCGAAATCGAAGCACAATCGACATGGTTATTGATGATTTTCGGAGCTATCAGGAGGTCATACGACCATCCATACGAGCAGCTTCGCTCATATGGAAGGTCGTACTTCACTCTGGACTTCAGGAGCTGTTCCGTATTTTGTTCGTCATTTCTTCATATGAACTTTGATTTTGACATTCTTGGATTTGTTGGATTGCTAGCAAAAAGCCCGATGTGTCAGAGGCCTTGGACCTTCAATTTGGACATTTGATAAATGTGAAATCATCAAAATCTCCAAAGGGCCTTGATCTGGTGCCTTGAACTTCTCCGATTTGATCCCCAACCTGGTTCTTTTGATGCCCAAGTCCATGAACATGTCAACACAACTACAGAGACCACAAAACAAAGTAAAACTAACAAAAATTAAAATAAAATAAAAAGTGTCCAACAAACTTTGTAAAACAAGTAAATACGGAAAACTATGCATTTGAGACATGAATGTTATATGGATATGATATGAGGGATTTCGGAACTAGAATATACTCTAAAAGGTATGCATAAAATCCAATCATCAATGGTGCATGAAAGAAATGCACAGTGGAGCCAAAGCGCTTGCGAACTTGTTCGACCATGGATAGACCAGGACAGTGCAAAAGGCCATCCGTGAGAAGGTGTTAGGTGTTTAGGCTGATCCATGGTGGTGGCGCCGGTGAGGAGGGGCTTGGTGGTGGTGGTGCCATGGTGGAGGTGGGAGGAGGAGAGGAGTGCCACCCCTGCCGCCGCCTTCATCGCCCAGTGTTGGGACTTAGCCCAACCAGTAGTCTCTAGTAGTGATGATGGGAAGGGAGAACGGAGAGTAGGAGGCGACGACTTAGATTTGGATGGAAGATAGCACTACTGCATGATGCTGCTAACACGACACTACGATCAGAGACCCTTTGACGAAACTGTGTATGATACATTAATCGCAAACGATGCTTTAAAAACCATAAAAAAAAGATGCAAAACGTTTGTGATGAAGGATACATCAAACACGGTTCAGATTTTAGTTGCGTGTGCGATGGAGGGCATACGGTTGATCCATACAAACTGTTTGCGATGAGACAGAACAACATAAACGGGTAGCCATATCAAGGTGTGTGCGATATACGGCATACAGTTCACTCAGATGAACTAGTTGCTATTAGGGAATCCAACATAAATGGTTAGCCAGATCGAAGTGTGTGTGATATACGGCATACGGTTCACTCGGACGAACTATTTTCGCTTAGGGAACACAACAGAAATGGTTCAACTTAACAAGATGTGTGTGATATGCGGCATATAGTTCACATAGATGAACTGTTTGCGATGAGCCAAAAGAACACAAACGATTCATGTAAACAAGATATATGTGTTACTCGGCAAACAACCCACTCGGATGAACTGTTTGCGATGAGAAATTATAACATAGATGGTTACGACAGTTAATTCGTGTGTGATTCTGTGTGTACAAAAAACTATGAAAAATGTAAACTAGTTACTTGCGGTGGCTAGGAGTATCGCACACGATGCGTCTACGAGTACTCGTGTGTGATGATTAGTAAGTTACACATACGTTTCCTTATGTTAACACGTGTGTGAATTTGCAATATGGACAATTAATATGCAAATGCCTTCTGGACATCGCTATTGATCGCCACGTCCAAAACATGGACATCCTCTACTCTACCGCTCTACCGAGCACACGCTTAAACTCAATGAACTGTGTACGATACTAATACTTTCCATGAAAATTTAAGAACTTCGCTAACAACATTTGAGTAACATATATATAGTGGTTACACTATTCAACAAAATGAGGATCTTCGTAACAAGGTTTTGACAACCATATGGTCCATATCTACATACTTAACATAGTAACAACTATCACATTTTAAGAGGCTGAGGGCCAACAATCATATGGTCCATATCTACATACTTAACATAGTAACAAGTAGCACATTTTAAGAGGCCGAGGGCCAACAACCACAACTATCCGCTGGAAGCAGCTTGATCAGGGCGACTTGGCATCTCGTCAATGAAAAGGAAGAACCCTCCTATGCCTTGGTAGAGTATGAGTAGAACAATATCTCCAATTTTCCAATATGGATGCATTGCCACGAGAAGCGAGGACTTGTTAATTTGAATGGTTCCATTTCTGCGGGAAATGTAGTACCTTGCAATCACCTTGGCGTTATTAGTAGGCACAAGTGTAATTCGATCACGCCGGGAAATTAATCCAGGAATAGCTACATCGAGCAATTTCTGTTGAAATGTAGAATAAAAACCAATTGTAACATATCTTTAAAGATATATATAGTTTATGAGCATCAACATAAAAATAAGACTTTGTACCAGTATTTTGTTCACACAATCGGTCTTGTTCAATGTGTGCACCATAGGTATAATTAATCTCATCAGAAATCCAGCGTTCATACGATGTGCCATCTCTACCAAATTAGCAACAAATTTTATGACATGCTTCAAGTCCTTCCAATGAAATTTGATACGCTTAGTAACATACAGATCATTAACTATACATCCAACATATCTTGCTTAAAAGGGTGGAAAGGTATTATTTATTAAGAACATGATAGAAGAATTTATAGTGCGCATAAATTGGTAAATAGAATTTGTTACTGCTTAGGAACGGAGTCAGAAAATGAAATCACAATTGGTTGCTTA